GTAACTCAGACGCCCCACTACAAAACCGAGCCAGTCCCTGAACCGCGGATGAATCGGGACATGCCAAGAAGCGTCCCGGAGGTCCAGGGACACCATCCAAGCTCCCGGCTCCAAGAGAAGCCGAACCTGAGACAGCGTAGTCATCCGAAAGGAGGGGCAATGAACCCAGGGGTTCAGACGGGACAAGTCCAGAATGAACCGCAGGTCCGCGCAGTCCCGTTTCGGAACCGGAAACAGACGGGAAACCCATCGGAGGGACGACGTCGTTTCGACGACGCCCAAGCGTACCCACTCCAAGACGACTCGACAGAGCGCAGGGGAAGAAGCCTGCCCTGCCAGCCCCGACCCCCCAAAGGGGGGAGGGGCCACCCAACGCCACCGCAGGCCGCAAGACACGACCCGAAAGGCCCACGAATCGTGGGACCAGGCGCGGGCGAACAGCGCAAGCCGCCCCCCCATCGCCCCGTCAAGGGGGCAAACCGCGAAAGGGCCGGCGACCCTTACGAGACCCAGAACCCCGCACAGCGCGAACACCGCGCCGACCAGACGAGGGAGGGTCCGCAGGAGGAGCCAACCCCAAACCTGACACCAGAGGCCTACCACGACGAGAGGAACCCCGAGCCCTGGCACGACCTTTCCGGGAAGACCCACCCAGGGCCCCCCGGAAAACTAACAAGTCCGACATCGGACGACAAGCCGCCGACGCAGCCTGAATAAACTGCGCCACGGCCGACTCCCCAAAAGGAGAGGACAAAAAGGTGAAGAACGCCTAAGAGCCAGAGCCCAAGCAGATTCCACGGAGGAACCCAGCACCGCCTGCCAACACGCGAGACGGGAAGCATAGAACAGGGAAACCGCATCCCGCAAAATCGGCGTGAACAGCTTCAACAAGGCAGCCGACGAACGCGCAGCCGAGGACAAGGTGCCGGACCCCGGGACGGACCCAAGCGTCCCCACATCCTCCACGAGCCAATCCGAAGACAGCTCCAGGAGGGAAAAGAACCGCAAGGCCGAACACAAAAGGCCCCGGGCGCACAAGTCCTCCGCCACGAGCGCCGCCGAAAGGGAGGGAACCTGCACATGGAGCTGAATAACGCCCACATCGCGGGGAAGGGCAGGGGCAAACAAGCACTCATTCAGGTAATCAAGTTCACCCCCCAGGAAAACCTGAAGCACCGTGGAAGCTTCCCGCCACTCCAGCGTGCGGGAACGACAGAAGGAATGCCAGGAATCCAGACCAAACAAGGGGCAGTCTGCTAGCCAGGACGACTCCGGGACCTCGTAACGGAGCCAGAAAAGGAACGAAGTCCCAAACCTGAACGTGGACGGATCCATTTCCGAGGCATAATCCGGGTCACGCAGGAGGTAAGCTGCAAAGGCCGCTCGCACCACACCAGGTTGGATGCGATAAGCCGAAAACCTCCGGAAGGACGGAACCGACGTACCCGGGGGAACACGGAACCGAACCCGGGGAGGGGCCGACACCAAATCCAACTCGTACGCAGAGGGGGGGAAAAGAAAACCCCACTCCTTGTAACAATAAGCCCCGCTCAGTGGGAAGAAAAACCCAGGCGGGGTCCAGCGGGGCCCAAGGCCCCCAAGTCAGCCCCACCCCAGCCTCGAGGTCCGTCACCACAGGACCCGAGGCCGAGTCCTCTCCCCAAGCCCCGACCCCACAAGACAAGGACGGAGCAGCCGGAAAAGCTGGAGGAAGGGGGGCCCACTGGTCAGACCCTGAAGCTTCGGCCGGGAGACAAGACTCGAATGCCCCTGCCGCCCCCCCGGAAGGGGCAACCCCCGAAGCTGCCCGAGTCTCGAGATCAAGTAACCCCTGCTCCGACCCCGAAACCCTCAGACGCTTCGGGGCCGGAAGCAGGGGCGGGGGACCAGAACGAACAGAAGGGGAAGGACGAGGAGGTGCGGACTGAACCAGGATCGAAGCGACCCCCACCCCCAAGTCCGGGTCTCGAAAAGCAAAGCGGGGCAGCCCCGGGGCATCCGGGGAAGCAACCAACCGAGCGCGTTGCAACAGACGAAACCTAGACTGCAACGCACGTGCCGCCCGTACCCGAATAGAATCATCAGAGGATTGGGTAAATTGAGTCACAAGCAAGCAGCAACACTCACAGGACTCAGGGTCGAAAGTATCACCGACCCAACAGGCAGCGTGGCAGAGGCAAAAACAATGAGGGTCACCCTGAGACAAGGGGACCGAGCAACCCTCAAACTCGCACACAGCGAGTGGGGACTCCGGGGTCACATCCATCGGACCCACGCGCCCCCTAGGGGATTCCCAGGGTCCTGAGCGTTTACTTTAAGAGGACTCGCGCTCAGGTAGTCCCAGGCAGGGTGCTGCAAACCGGCGCCCAAAACTACCAAGCAAACTTCTAAAGCTGAACCCCAGGGACGTGTACACTCACGGGGACCTAGCAGGGGGCGCCACCGAGGAGAACAGTGGAAGGGCAAAAACAAACTGAATAAAATGACAGAACCCCCCACCAGGCAAAAACAAAAAGAAAAACAAAACCCCGCAAGAGGACAGCGAACCCCAAGGAACAGAGCCGGCCGCGATGTCGGGAAATACAAGCCGAGCAGCACCCTGCGCCCCTACCAGTGCAAACTGTCTCTTACCTGCCGGTAACAAGGGAGAACAGAACACCCAAGAGCCCAACAGGCGGCCGAAAAACCGAAAGGTAAAACGGACCAGCAGAGGCAGACCCCGAGGAGCCTGTGGAAGGTGGCCCCAAGCCCCAAGGGCAGTACTTACAGGGCACCTAGGGAAGGCAGCCCTAGGCGCATGCAGCCCGAGTACTGAAGATAACTCCTGGCTCTCGCACCCACAAAACTAACACCACACGCAAAGCACAGCGCAGTAGCGACACCGGAGCCAGAGCACACGACCATCGCCTATAGCATCAGCCTCAAGAACTGAGGTGTGGGTAGCCGGCGCGGGGGGTCTGGGGCTCCCCCTTCCCCCTCCCGGGGAGGGGGGAGCTGCGCAGACAGCGGCGCGGCAGTGTGTGACGTCACACTAGTTTGCTTGTTTTCGGTTGGGGAGTTCTATCCACTAGTTCGGTTTTAGGTAGCAATTTTAACCAGAATAGGGGTTTGTTTTGGGGCGCTTACCTTTCTGGGTGCCTGTTCCGGTCGATGGCAGACATAGAATGCTTCCAACTACACGGGGGCTTCTATAGGCCATTGCTCCCCTTGCCTCTCTGAGGGGGCCCGGTTCTGGCCGTGGTCCCCGGTAGGCCTAAGAACTCCATACACATGACTGATGCCAAAGTCTGACATTAGCATATCAGCCTGGGATAGCTCCGGGGAGCCGACGGGGCTCCCCCCAGAAATGAAAATGAAATGTGTGAAACATTAAACGAAAAGTTCCAAAGTGCATTTGTACAAAATGAAATCTTCAGGGAACCAGACACAATAAGAATTCCAGAGAATAACATGGAGCACATAGAGGTGTCTAGAGACGAAGTGGAAAAAATGCTCAAGGAGCTAAGTAAGAACAAAGCAGTTGGTCCAGACCAAGTTTCACCATGGGTTCTGAAAGAATGTGCACCTGAGCTCAGCATTCCACTTCAACTGATTTTTTCTGTGTACAGGAGTTGTAGCTGATGTGTGGAAAAAGGCTAATATAGTTCCAGTCTACAAAAGTGGCAGGAGGGAAGACCCCCTCATTATAGACCTGTATCATTGACAGGTGTAATAGCCAAAATATTGGAAAAAATAGTTAAAAATAAATGGGTAGAACACCTGGAGAAAAACTATATAATACCAGACAGTTAGTATGGTTTTTGATCTGGAAAATCGTGTAACAAATGTTTTCAGTTACACAGGATTTTTTTCTATGATTGAGCCACAGAGATTTTACAGGAAAGAGATGGCGGGGTTGACTGCATTTATCTGGACCTAAAAAAGGCTTACGACAGAGTTCCACATAAGAGGCTGTTCTGGAAACTGGAACATATTGGTGGAGTGACAGATAAGCTTCTAACATTGATGAAAAATTTTCTAACTGATAGAAAAATGAGTGCAGTAATCAGAGGCAATGTATTGGACTGGAGAAATATCACAAGTGGAGTACCACAGGGTTCTTTTCTTGCACCGGTAAAGTTCATTTTCTACATAAAACGATCTACCAGATGGAATACAGAATTATATGAACATGTTTGCTGATGATGCTAAGATAATTAGGAAGATAAGAAACTTAGATGATTGTCATGCCCTTCAAGAAGACCTGGACAAAATAATTATATGGAGCACCATTTGGCAAATGGAATTTAATGTGAATAAATGCCATGTTATGGAATGTGGAATAGAAGAACATAGACCCCACACAACTTATAAATTATGTGAGAATTCTTTAAAGAAATCTGCTAAAGAAAGAGATCTAGGGGTGGTTCTAGATAAAAAAAACTGTCACCTGAGGACCACATTAAGAACATTGTGCGAGGAGCGTATGCTACACTTTCTAACTTCAGAATTGCTTTTAAATACATGGATGGAGAAATACTAAAGAAATTGTTCTCGACTTTTGTTAGACTAAAGCCGGAATATGCAGCGGTTGTATGGTGACCATATCGTAACACTTTCGAGCTCTGAAAGAGCGAGCCTCTCACTATCTAAGGTGGGTCTGGGCATTACAGCGCCCAGAATTCCTGAGACGTGGAACTTCAAGAACAAGAGGTCATCGATTTAAACTAACGAAACAAAGCTGCCAGAGAGAAATATAAGAAAAATCACTTTTGTAAACAGAGTGGTAGACGATTGGAACAAGTTAGGTGAAAAGGTGGTGGAGGCTAAAACTGTCAGTAATTTCAAAGCGTTATATGACAAAGAGTGCTGGGAAGATGGGACACCACGAGCGTAGCTCTAGTCCTGTAACTACACTTAAGTAATTACTTAGGTAATTACACACATGCACATACACACATACACATACATACATACGTACATAAAGTTATATAAAAACTGTATTAAATGTTATGTTACAGGTATCTGTGAAGAGAGTGTTACAGGGGTACACAGACTGTACCAGCTGAGTAAGGCAGGAAAACTGACTGTTCCCGCTATGAATGTCAACGATTCTGTAACCAAAACTATGTTCGATAATCTTTACTCGTGCAGGGAATCAATTATTGACAGGTAACATAAATTTCATTTGGTGTTGTGTATTCATGAACATCCAGGATTTATGTTGATTGAAATTCTGTACAATAAATAAAATCTTTTGCTTACAAATTATTTCTATAGCTGTTATTTTATGTCAAGTTAACGTTAAAATTCTTCTAAAATTAAATAGTAGTAGTTTGCTCATTATAATATTAATTCAGTCAAAGGTCAACAATACTTTCCATATGAATTCCATCTGAATCCAAATTATGCTGATTTCATGCAACTGTGACACAAAATATGGAAAGTTTTACAGCAGTTTGTTTTATTTGCACAACTCGCTTATCATATTCAAATATATTCATAGCGTAATAGAGAACCAGATTAGTTTTATATTGGACTTTATAATATTATTTTATATTAAAATTATAATATTATAACAATATACAGTAGTTTTATTTGGACTGGTATAATAAGCCACTTTGATGAAAATAAGTCATATACATGTTGCACATTAATAATTGTAGTTCCTGAAATAAGTAAAGATAGGCCAATTACTGCAATTTGAAATTGGTTTTTACTTTAATATTAGACCATGAACATGTAGTAGTTACGGTGGTTATCATACTATGCTAGTAATCTAATCTCTATCAAGCAGTAGTAATTGTTTTTTTCAATATAATCTTGTTCCTGAAGTACAGAACTGAGTAACCTTTTTACCTTTTAATAAACAAGTTTATCACTGCTGGGGTCCTAACTATAAATAGATCAAATATTCTTTAACATTTCTAACAGTTTGAAGCGTGCAACTGATGTAATGTTCGGAGGAAAGCAGGTGGCGATCTGTGGATATGGAGAAGTTGGAAAGGGTTGCTGCCAGGCTCTCAAAGGTCTAGGTTGCACTGTCTATGTGACTGAAATTGACCCTGTATGTGCACTGCAGGCATGGTTAGTGCATTGATAGTGTTCTAAAAAAAAGTAAAATTATGCAGTTTTCATTTAATTGCATGTTTATGTACATTTGAAGCTCTTTATGATATTAATATGTTCAGTTGTGGACATTGGTTGTTGCCTGGAGAATCAGTGTCCCTGTGGCCTGGTTTCTGGCATTAACATTTCGTATGGTATGTCATGAGAAAGAAATGACCATTGTAAGGAAAGTGATAATTTATTATGCAGCTTAGTTATACATATACAGCTGCAGTTATCATCTTCACAGATATAGATATAACAGCTGCAGGGGGGTTAAATTTTACATATTTTATAATACATCTTTAAACAAAATTATTTACCCATGCATACTGTAATGCAAATAAGTTTTTATGTTAAAAAATGGAAGGGTACATGTGCTTCTTTGAATATTATTGCATAAAATTGTAGATACTCGCCAATAGTAAACTTGGCATGTTCTTGTTGCCAGAATAATTCTAATTTCATGTTTCATCAACAGTATGGATGGTTTCCGGGTGATGAAGCTGTCGGAAGTGATCCGGCAAGTTGATATCCTGGTGACAGCAACAGGTAACAAGAATGTGGTGACACGAGACCACATGGACAAGATGAAGAATGGAGCCATTGTCTGTAACATGGGTCATTCTAACACTGAAATAGATGTTGTAAGTTTACAATAAATGTTCTTAAATCTTGAGTTGATTTAGTGCTCATTATTTTTTGTTCAGGTAGGGCTTACAGCTTGTCTGTATAGGTATGCCTACTTGTTCACTACTGTATTTTAAGATGTATCTTCTTGATTTTAGAGTTCTCCAGTTCTTTGTACTAAAGGCTACAAATCGTTAATTATTAGAACTAATAAGAGATTGAAGAATTTTTCACAAATAATTGAGATGAATGTGCACCAATGATTAGGAAAATGAAGATTTAGATTAACAAAGAGAATCAGTTAAGAAAATAAAGTTGAGGTTAAAGAACGAAATCATTGTATGAAATTTGATTATGTAAGATATGATTGATTAATATACATCTTTTGGTCCACAGAATTCCCTTCGCACTCCTGACTTGACTTGGGAGAAAGTTCGTTCTCAGGTGGACCATGTCTTGTGGCCTGATGGCAAGAGGATCATTTTGTTGGCTGAAGGTCGTCTTGTCAACCTCTCCTGTTCATCTGTTCCATCATTTGTTGTTTCCATCACTTCATGCACTCAGGTGAGCAGTTGTAAAGTATTATACCGTAAGGATTTAATAGATGGCAAAACTAAAGAAACTAGATTCCTAATTTAATTCTTAGTTTATACTGTGGATCATAGTAGATAATGGAGAATTGTTTCTTGTCATGTAGCAATTTCAAAATGCTTAAATTAGACAAATGAACAAGGTAAGGTAAGAGTATCAGGAGAAAGCACCAAGTCATTACAACTATAGTATAGTATACTGTATAGCATTTTGAAGGGATTTGAGGAGGAGGAGGATTTAGGATAGGATAGAGGAAAGGAATGGTGCACAACAACTTGGATGAGCAGGAATTGAATGTCAACCTTCAAGAAGGGAGTCTTGCAGGTTGCAGGTCACTGCTGTCCAGTCCAAGGGGTAAAAATTATAGGAAAGGAGGAAACTGTGCCTGGTATTTGAACATCAATTATGTGGTATATAATTATATAATGAATGATGGGTGACTGCATAGACAAACTTGTCTTTGGCTAGGAGAATCATGATAATCCTAAAGGCTTCCTGTTCCAGTACAAATAAAATATTTATGAAGAATCAAAGAAATTGGAAATTATTGATGTAATGTGGTGGCACGTGATACAGAGATAGTGTAATTTTGTGTTTTTCCAAAACAAAGATAAAATTGTTTCAACTAAAGACTGATAACAAGTAAACTGTTGATACAAGAAACACTAATATACTCTTGATTCTCGCACAGAGAAGGGGGCATGATCACCTTTAAGTGAATGTAGCTGAAATAAGGGTGGAAGTTAACTATTTCCTAAGTGGTCAATTTACCAGATATGACTTGGACATAAAAGGGCATCACTAATACAATTGATAAATATGTACAGTACTGTATTTTGTTTCCCGAGAACCATTTACATTTTGATTAGAAAAATGTTTGAGAAGCACAAGTTTGGAATGCTAAAATGGGTTATCCTATTACTCTTTGAGGTTTGCCCATACAAGTTAGAAGTTGATAGATGCATCAATGCAAGTTTTATTAAAGCATGGTGATGACAATACTATTAAGTGTAGTAATGATACTTGCATGTAGTTGCAGCACTGGAGAGCACATTATTCCTAGACACATCAGTCATTTTGCATGACTTTTGATGGAATTTGGAGACAAATATAATTCACATGAACACTAAAGAGGCTTGGAGTATGTTGGGCATGCTTGATACTCTGGTACTATATGTGTGGTTTCATATACTTTCCATTCTAGAGAAGATAAGGTAACAATGGGGCAGGAGCTCTAAACCAGTATGAATATATAGTATAAAGGAGTAATATGAGGCCAGGGTATTATAATAGATATAATATACTGTAATATACTGGTAGGAGAAGCGAACACTCATATACATATTCCGAGTTAAATGGCAAGTTTTTCTCTGAATGCTCTGTGTTTCCTTCTTTGAGGCTGTGGGTCCCTATAATTGCACCAGAGGTGGTAGCACTCTAATATACTGTATATATAGCCGATATATACTGTAGGAGGTACGATAGGTGGACTGGCTGAAGGAAATACCCAAACACTTGCACCATCAGAGATTGAGCACGAACCTGCAAGAAGAAAAATCTTGCGGCTGAACAGAACACAAGGTGCTGACAGCAGTGTAGAGAAATACCAAGATGAGGCCTAATTATTATTATTATTATTATTATAACGATGATAATTGTTTAGTCATAAAAAATGTGCATTGGTTATATTACACTGTATAGATTTTATTCAGAATTGCAATATTTTTGTTAATAAGACCATTAATTAAAGACAGCCATTTTCTTAATTTGTTCTTTCAAGGTCTTTATAAAATTGGACAATGCTTATACATTATAGAGAAAAATGAGGGTGAAATCAGACAAGATATGTGAGGGATTGTGTCATTAACCCTTTTCTAAATTTTGGCATTTTTATAAAGAAAATTGAAATGGAGTAGCAAAAAGAAACTGCTGTACCAGGTAGACATGTTGAAGCTCCTGTAAATATTACAATTAGGTTACAAGGCATTTGAAAACTTTAACTTGTGGGCAGGGTGAGACATTTGAGCACAGTTCCTGGCTCCCAGTGCCTCATTTCTCCTAGCAGTAAATAGGTACATACTTGGAAGTTCAGCGACTGTTGTGGGTGGCATCCCAGGAGAGGTCAGTTGTTAGCCTAGAGAAACCTTGATAAGCCGAACAGGTTCCGGTCCCCAACAGTGTTAAAACATATCTAAAAATAATGACATGACAGCACAGGAAACTATTTTCTAATATATTTAATAAGGACAATAGATTATTTGCATAACATACTTTTATGTATCAAATAATTGTATAAAAACATATTTTTATAAGGAAATTGTGTTTAGTTAATATACGTTATGATTAGATATGTACTTATGGCCAAATTTGCTATTTTTTTATTTTTAGGCTTTGGCTCTTATTGAGCTATTTAATGCGCCTGCTGGCCGCTACAAGTCTGATGTTTATCTTCTTCCAAAGAAAATGGGTATGTTTTCTAACTTTTTAAGTTTCTTCTAGTATAAATAGAAAAATATGATAAGCCTCAAAACTATTTAATTTACTTATCTGTGTGTTGAAGATGAAAGGATATTATTTTTAAAAGATTTATACAGTATCAGTATTTTCAATCCAATTAGAATAAAGTAATTCCTTTTAATAAACGTATAAGATATATATGTCAGTATGCTTGCTGATAAACCTAAGAGTTTATCATTATTGAAAAGTGTATTTGTACTTATCTGTAATAGAAAAATATATTCATAATAAAAGTTGAAATCGCTTACTTATAATAATATTGAATTAAACTAATTCAACTGCTTATTTTAGAGTTATTTAAAATATTTGAGATACAAAAAATCCATATAAGAGTATGTGGGCTTTCTTCATGTGCATTTTCCTTGTATGTTTGTTTTAGATGAGTACGTGGCCAGTCTCCACTTGCCTACGTTTGACGCTCATCTCACGGAACTCTCTGATGAGCAAGCTAAATATATGGGCTTGAACAAGGCTGGACCATTCAAGCCCAATTACTACAGGTAAGCATGACTTTAGTGGGTTTTAGTGTCACATCATTAATGTCCATCCATTTGTTTAAGAGTCATGTTAATTTTTGTAATAATTAAGGAGTTATCTTGTGAACATTGCATGCAGTCATTAAATTTGGGACTTAAATTGTTTGTAGATTATCAAGAACTTGTACGCACACACATGGGCTCCATGCACCTGTCCGTTGATATAGACATAAGTAGCTGGAACTCTGTTTCCTTGTACAGTAGTATGGAAGGGAATTATCAGGGGAGAAAGCACCAAGCCATTACAACTATATAGCACTTGGAAGGGGTCAGGATATAAGGAAGGGGTCAGGATTTAGGATGGGATGGAGGGGAAGGAATGGTGCCCAACCACTTCGGTCGGGAATTGAACGCCGACCTGCACAAAGCGAGACCGTTCAGCCCAAGTGTAGTATGGAATGGTGTGAAGGTGATGTACATGAAGGTGCATGTACAAGCAATTAAGAGAAGGTTATTCCAAGGAAAAGTACAGGGAATACAGTAGTCACAAATCATTCCACTCATAGAAAAAATACTGAGATGTTATTTCAATAAATGTGTGTAATTTGTGATAACTTATGACTGAATTTTCACATTTTCAGAACATGTGCTTTTTCATGTCTATAACAGCAACTAATTAGTTTATTTTCTTTTTCAGGTATTAAGTTGTATCTGATGAATAAATGCAATAGATGATAATTCCATAGGACTGTATGCCATTGGTGACGTAGAAGTTGTAGAAGTAACAGTTTGCATGCCAATGGTGAAAGATACAGGGATAACAATACTTCACCTCTGAAGAAAATAAATGTTATTGTCAGGGATTTTGGGATCTAGAAGCATTTCTCGTGTATATTTTTTTCTTGTTAAAACATTCAAGGGTTGACTTGAGTACCGGCTCTCATTGTATTTAATATTTCATATTTTGGTAGCTACATAATGTTAATTGTCATCTACATACACACACACACATATATATATATATATAATGTTAATTTATATTTGCTTTGAGAATATGACAGCCAAAAGTGTTTTTGTGTAACATAGTAACATACAAGACACACTCTTTTGAAAATTTGAAAAGTTGAGACATTGCTTTGTTTTTAGCCTGTGTAAATAATAATGAAGCTTGGGAAGGGAAACCAGTTAGGGTAATATTGGCAGTGCCACAGTTATTAACATTGTGCAGATCTTTATGATCACATTGTTAAGTAACAACCATCAATCAACAGAGTACCTGATGACACTAACTGCCAATCAGCACACAGCAGTGTTTCGGTACGTTATGGAGAACAGATGATATTTAAAATGTAATTATTATACATAAGTATTGTTTATGTCCCTCTTGCCACAATGAAAAACAATTACTAAAAGGTTTATTAACAACAACATCTTGTCTTGTTATGTAATAATTTTAGTGAAATTCATGAATTATTACGTGATTTTTTACAAGAGCATCACAGAACTCCAAAGGATTAATATGACAGTTTCTTATTTTCATTGTTCCAGCTATTATATATATATATATATATATATATATATATATATATATATATATATATATATATATATATATATATATATATATATATATATATATATATATATATATATATATATATATATATATATATATATATATATATATATATATATATATATATATATATATATATATATATATATATATATATATATATATATATATATATATATATATATATATATATATATATATATACATATAATACAGTATATAATATATATTAGTGCAACATTTTCAAGGAGTCATGAAGTTATTGATGCTTTTCACCTGATGATATTGTTTCCTCTTTCTTTGACAAGGCAAAATTAATATTGTGATACAGTGTGTCTGTGAATATAATCGCGAAAGGGCACTTGGTATTGAAATAGTGTTTTACAAATGGCCGATATCCTTTGCCTTGAGGTTCATTGAGATTTGTGTATCAAATCAATACAATCTACTGGCAGGTTATGTTGTATATCTAGACCATGTTTGTCTTAGAGTCTGCCTGTCTTGTCTGTGATAGTTGTAGAGGTCAGAACCAATGAAAAAGTACCAGAGGCCAATATAACCACAATAGAGAATGCATTTGTTCATTGCTAAGATGATCTATGTTTGCAAGGAGATCACTGCCATTATTAGCAGTGTTTAGGTCAGTCTTACAAGGCTAGTGTTCATTTCACAAAAGTTGTTATTCTCACATTAGCAGCTTGTATTAGTAGGTTTAAAGCTTGCATCAGTTGTTTTCTCTCGCAATCAGATCATATACTGTATGTATATATATATATATATATATGTACTGTATAAAAATATATATTATTATAATATAATATTATTATATATAATAATACATATATAAATCATATACTGTATATAATATATTAATATACACTGTAGGTGATCAGACTTTATTGTGGCACTGAGTACAGCAATAGGAACATGCCAATCCTTAATCAAGTTAGGTCTATTACTGTTTAGTGTTGTTTATTGAATCTAATACTGAAATACAGCCTTAAAAATTGGTAGAGCATTGAGTTTACAGGGAGTTTGAAGCCTCTCTAAGGAGACTCCAAATGTAAGCCAAGACATAGGTGCTCCAGGTGGGAACTTGAGGGGCAGTGACAACATACTTTTTTTTTCTTAGTGCTTCTAAGTGACATCAAGAAGGTCATGTTGTTGCTCAGTTAAGGCTTGAATTTTGAAGCATTATGTGATATTGGACATATATTTGAGACATTACTTGGTGCCTGGGATGTGGTTTATACCTATTGCCACAAGTCCTTAGAGCATTTAACGTCACTGTCACATGGTACATCAGAGCATAGGCCTTATTATTATTGTTGTTGTTACTGCTGTTACAAGCGCTGCCATCACAAGTTCATCATTCATTGAGTCTCGAATGGTGCTGTCAGGACAATCAGTTTTTGGCATCATGTTGCCCATACTCTAGGCATGCCTCATTTGCCTATGACTAGCTAGGTCTGGCCAGGTTTCAGGCAAATACCTTTTTTGCTGATTGGGAATGAGGAATTAATAAAACAGGGCTCCTCCTCCTCCTCCTCCTCCTCATGTTTTTATTTCATATAGATAGGAGAAAGAGCTTTGTTTATCCTTTGTGGTATGATGATGAATACCTGCCAAAAGACAGATAATTTAGAATCTTATAATCACTGGAAATTTTCAATTTTATAAAATAAGGATGATGATTATCCTTGTCCATTACGTGACTAAATGCCTCCAATATTGATTTTTGTTTGTTTACTTTTACGAATATAGAGAAAACCTTTTCATACCAGCCTGTGTATGCCGCATGTTTATGGAAGAGAATGTAGAAATATTAAATTGCTTGTGACCAAAGCAATATAATTTGATCTACCATTCACATGCTCATCTTGTGTACATTTGAGCTTGTAACCGATCTACATTATACACTTTTGTATTTGTATAAAAGGACAAGTATAAGGTGGATCAGTTCAAGGTAAAACAGGTTACATTTTAGAATCAGACTGTTACTTATACAAACAATTCCGTGCCATTGATGCCAGCACCATATCGATCTTCTCCGACATGTTTTGTCTCCACTTGAATCGAGGGCTCTGCAAGACTGAATAGCATTTCAGTATTTAGTTTTATGATATTTTAGTGTTTTTACATGTAATACTGTGTCCATTAAAGCATAATTGAAGTATATTTAAGAATCCCTTCACACACCTGTTTGTGAGAAGTTATCATCGGCAATGATACTGATTTGGAGAAAGCTGGGAACTTGTTAAGGACTTGAGCGACTGATGGTTGTTTACCTATGGAAATATCTCTGTATTATTTAAAAACAAGGAATTGCATAACACATTGACTAGTTATGTAATCATTTAAATATAAATTTTATTATACTATTTAAATGTGTAAGTTGAAATTTGTAGAGTTTTATATTATTTTAATAAAATAATTGATTGTGGAAATAGACAAAAAATATATAAAAAAAAAAATTTGCAATTTTAGGCATTCTATAGCAGTGACATTTTGAAGGATGTTAACGGCTATGTAACTGGGGAATCATAAATGTAAACAATTTTATAATCACTTATGCATGTGGATATTGTTATATTTTTAAGCTGCTTGTATCCTTTGGATATAGCCAAATTTTAGAGAACTTAAGCATACTGTACTGCTAGATCTAATTTGATTGATTTTAAGGAATTTGTCAAGCTTTTAACACGTGTAATAACATCAGTGAGTAGTATTGATGGCAGAGAATGTGTAATGCTGTGGGTGCTGACCATTTTTTGTGAGCGAAGGTTGTGTTCATGGCAATCCTTGGGTAAGGCTTGGGTTTGGAACGGTAGCAAGGAGAGCAACAAGAAAAGTTCAGTAATGATATTTTCAGTGTGTTGTGCACAGTGGGTGAGGTATTTAGTGTACAATCTGACATTCCAGACACCTTTAACAAGTTATGGTGTTTATTATATTTTTGGGGATCTCATTTGGTGCTTGCATTGTTTTCTTATTAATTAATACCATATTTTTAATCTTGATGGTTTTTGAAATTTTAAAACTTTGTTGAATAATTTTTTGTAATTATTTCTGGATAATTAGCTTGCTTTTATTGCATTTTGATTATTTATTTGATGCTCCACACTGTACATCCTCAGAACTAAAACTTGTATACATAATATGTTTGCCCTTATTCTAGTTCCAAAATTATCTTTACTTTATGTATAATGTGTTACCCACCCACATGCATTTTTTCTAATGTACTGTGAAGACTTTATCATGATAATGAAGAAGTCCCTATAACCTGCAAATTATGTGAAACTTTAGCCTCTGGAACATGTTCTTACTAACTTAGTGTATCTATTCAGTCCTGTTAAAAGGTTGGCGAGGGTTATAAAATTGTATTAGTTTGTAGAAAGTATTGGTGTTTCATTTCTCCTTGTACGGAAGGGGTAAGGAATTGCTAATGTGCCAATTGTCTGCAGTATTGGCTGACAGTATTAACATCCTAATTTTAGAAGGATATTATAACTGTTGTTATAATTTAAATGCACATTTGTACCTATTATATGTAAAATGTGCCTTGCTATCTAATTTGTACAATGTTACATGTTCTTGCAGAGATGTGGAAGTGAAAGATCGTATATATTTTGTGAACTTTTTTTTTTTTCACTCTCTCTCCATAGTGAGCCTTTGCTTCTAAAAATTGTCAATTCTTCACATACCTTGAACTAACTAAAGCAAAGATGGACCAATTTGTTACATTTAACCCAAGCTCATGTTGCTATACATAAACAATGTTACTGTACCTAATCTATTTAGCTCTATCAGCTGGTGTTTATCAAATGTGATGTAATAATGGGTAAGGAAGAAAGAAAACGAGAAGAGCAATATAAACTAAAGGGGAGGATGCTCGAGAGCTTGGAGAAAGAGAAGTAAGAGCGCATGAAGCAATCCTTCATGGCCAGTATCCTCTTCCAAGATAAGTATTTTAGTGGCAGAGCTTTATGTAATTTTGTATACTCTTAAAATTAGTTACTTTTTATGAGCCAACACTTGTCTCTTCATTTGTTTGTGCTTTCATGGCCCCGAAGTCATTGGACAGTCGAGTTCTGTTTGGTTCCCAGCCACACTGGTGTTGCCTTTAATGATCTTACAGATGCCACTACCATTAACAAAGCCATTTGTGCTGATTCCATCTCCCAGAAGCAAATTACTGGGTTGGAATTTTACTTAATCATTCATAATGTATCCTGAATGATATCTAGGATCTCTTGAATATTCTGCAACGCAGTCTCTGCCTCTTTTCGGCAATACGAAGTTGTACCCCAAGGTAGTGTTCTGAGCACTTGTCTTTAACCTTGTTGCCCTCAGTGGTCTTGTTTCCTCCGTTCCCTCTGGCATCTTCTCAGTGCTCTACGTCGACGATCTTACCCTTTGCCGACGGGGTGACGACTCTTCTTTCCTTCAACCATGGCATCGACTTGTGATTGATGCCGTGTTGTCCCGGGCCACTAATTATGGCTTCAAGTTCTC